GTGTGTGTGTGTGTGTGTGTGTGTGTGTGTGTCTTGCACCTCTTTTGTTCATGGTAACTGTTCAATACACAGACAGATTGGACATAAATGCTTACATGTAACATGTCTTACATGCTCTAAAAAAAGAGTCATGTTAAATATTACATCTCTGTATCTCTKTGCATTATGGTTTATTTAAAGCCCTGACAAAGATGGAGGTCATGTACAGAAGGGTGAGCAGAATCTTCAGACGCTRTTAGTGCCTCAACATCCAGTTTGCATATAATTCATCGTTACTGGGCACTAAAAATTATCAGAAACTAGAAAGTATGACCTTTTCGGGGTGGGGGGTGTAAAAGTGCAGAACAAGATGAAATGACATTTATTGACTCCAGCAGACTTTGTCATAAATGTGGATAATAAACGCAGCAGGGACAAGTCCCCCCTGTAGAGTTATAGTGAGTGTCGGGAATTCAGAAAGCAAAAAATAAATAAATTAAAAAAGAACTGCAGGGTTTAGAAGAAGTTCAAATTAAATGTTTTCTTGCTTGAAATGGATTTGTTTCCCTTTCTCTCCAATAATTTTCACCACTCTGGTTAGTTTTCTATTTGCACCATGATCTGTATAGATACTGTCCAGTTAGTTGGTGAGAATTTAATTGAAATTGAYGTTTTGTTTTGTTTTTTTGTTTTTCAAAGTTGAAACAACAATTTTGCTTTCACACCCGTCTTTTTTTCTAAACTAGAGTTGTCATTACTCTGCCTTTCTAGCAATTATTATGTTTTTAGGGCAGAAAGCATGCTGCTAATTCCCTGCAACATTTCAACTAATCATAACAGCCAGTGGTCTCTTTGCGAAGCATAAACAGCAACAATAAGAAGACTTTTCGAGCGCAGTCAGTGTATGACAACCTGGTCCTGCGGTGTGATATATGATGTTTATCATTTGACTCCAATTCTCCTGCTGCTTTTTCCTCTAAAAACTTGAAACACGGGACATTTACCCCCCAACAAAAACATGACCACTGACAGGCAGGGAGAAAGAGCAGTTTGTTTTGTTCAGAAAAAGTCCTTTTTCTTTCAGTATGGAGCAAATAAAAAGTCCAGTTTTTAGCCTTTCGTGTTTCAGACATGCTTGAAATTGTCTTATCTGAATCGTCCTTCCCMTCTTTCTTCCTGCTTCGTGCGCTCATCTGTAAGAACTTTTGTATTGTTTTAAGATAGACACACAGAAAATATATTCTTCCGTACCCACGGGTTTCACTCAGTTCCGCTCTAGAATTGTTTCCGTTGTTTATGTTTTCTTAGATGTGATCCAGCAGCAGAGATTATCACACCTTGAACATGTTTCTCCTTTTTCCAATTGCACCTGCAGTGAAACTGAACACTTAAAAGTGTAACTAAACCCCCMCTGTGAAAGCCTAACCCCACCTCCAGGCAAATTTTAAAAAATTTGAACAAAATGGGCATTGCCAGGAGACACTGAGGGGCACAGCCAAGTGTGGGGATGAATGGAGGAGGTTAAACGGGGCTGTGGTCTTAGGCCAAATATTGCAGAATTACAAAAAATTTACACAAAAACGTCACAACTTGCGCAGAAACATAAAGATAGCACCAATTTAGATGTTTTATTTGCAATTAAAATAGATGATTTGGGGTTTAGTTACTCTTTAAGARATTAAAATGAATGAACTTGTGTGTTACTGCTGTAATTTTAAACTGCAAGGGTTCATTAAAAACTGGCTACATTGATTTTCCTGGATTAAGAGAAGCAAATTAGGTGAGACATAAATGCCAATACTGCTGATCCAACAAGCATGGACACTATTGATGCATGTAGTAATAAATTTCATCAGTCAACCTTTACATCTTTAGTTTGACTTAACAAATGTCATGTTTTTAACATGTTAACATCTTAAAAACACCAAATGTGCTTTTTAGCGGCATTTATTTTGTTTCTTTTCTTCTGAATAATCTAAATTTTAAAGAGTTATAATGTTTCTTATTATAAAATCATTTGAGCTTTCTACAAGTTTGCGAGCAGATTTATAAAATCAGCTGATAAAACTGCTTGGAGAGGAGGTTTACATGATAGATGGTGTTAAAGATGGACCACATGTGAGTTAAAGTGAGCTATTCTCCAAGTGAAATGTTAATTTAAGAATTGGGTCATAGTGGTTCTGGAAAGTCCTCAAGCTACAGCATGAATCTCTTTCTGCTCACAGACTTTGATGCGATTTATCCCTGATCTCTCCTCTTTTTTTTTTTTTTCTGTCGGCTTAGCAGCATCAATTTAATCAAGTAAAGCCTAATGAAAATGCTACAAAAGGATCAAAATCAAACCTTTAAATGATTTTTTGTGAAAACCTGAAGTCATAGTGTTGTGTTTTTGGAGGTATCATCTTCTGAATCTTCTGTTGTGAGTTGTAATTGAATCAGATATCAWAATATCCACAGCATCATTATCAGGATTTCTCTATAACAGGATTCAGTGATTTTTTTTTTGTTCCACTTCAGTAAAATAATGGCTTGTTCTCACTTTGAGATAGACAGAAAAACCTAATAGAGATGTCTGTCTGATGATCCTGAAGAGACCAGTTTAATCTCTTTAAAAAAAACACTCTTTTTGAGTGTGTGGATGTGTCACGCTGCAAGCATTAGAGAAAAGAAAATTGGAGATATTTTTACATAAATTTATCTAGAGCCAGTGTTAGTCCAAAGACTGATCAGAAAGGTTATGGGTAAAACAGGAGGAGGAAAAATTAGATCCTTTGTCTCTTCTTTTAACCCTCCTTTTCTGCCTGCTCATCTTTGTATTTCGAGTGTATACATAATGAAAGCGCCTCACTTGTTCCCACAGTTATGAGGTAATTATCAGAAGATGATCTTAGATGTGAATCAGAACAAAAACAGAACAAGCTGGGGCATGTAGATGACTTCAGAAAGACAAAAGAGGGTCTGATTTTAAAGGCAACGKGGTAAAGTGTTTTCTGTGTTGAAGGAAGCAAACCAGTGTGACTCAAGGTACTTGTGAATAAAATGAGTGAAGAAGGCCATTTTCCAGAAAAATGCAGCCTTTTCGGGACCAAAGGACCATGGTGTGAATTGAGTTTAGGTTAGTTTTAGGGTCAGGTAGGTACTTGTGAGGTTAATTTTAGGATAAATGATCAGGTAAATGATGGGTAAATGATGACTATAAAAATGAAAAAAAAATGAAAAAAACCAAAAAATGAATGGAAGTCAATCCACGGTCCCCACGGGGATACAAAAACAAGACTGTGTGTGTGTGTGTGTGTGTGTGTGTGTGTGTGTGTGTGTGTGTGTGTGTG